AAAAGTGTTGGTGCACGAGCCCGGCCTTGCCTCACTCCTGAACTAACAGGGAAGAAGCTCGACAGGCCCCCACGGCACTTTGCAGCACTTTCAGTACTAGTTTACAGGCTTGCTATTAATCCAATAATCCTTGTTGGATTTCTCTCAGTCCCAGGGTCTTCCAGAGTGGTTCACGAAGCACTGTATCGAACGCCTTCTTGAGACTGATGTAGGCTGTAAGCAGCCCACAACCGAACTCACAGCGGCGATCTACAGTGACTCGAAACGCCAGGATACAGTCTATTATAGATTTACCAAGAGTGAATCCAGATTGCTTCGGCCTCTGATGACTTAATAGGTGATCTCTGATACATCTCAGAAGGATGTGAGCGAACATTTTGCATGGTATACTGAACAGTGTAATGCCCCAGGTATTGCTGCAGCACCATCGATCCCCTTTCCCCTTCATGAGAGGGATGGCCACACTCCTCAACAGGTTTTGGGGAATGGTACCAGAGTGCTAGATGGCAGCCATTTCAGCTGCTTTACCACCCTCCAGCTTGAAGTTCACTTCCCTGCCTTCAGTTAGGGAAGTGATTTCGACACCACTCGCATACAGGCTAACTGTTGGTAGATCAACCTGGTACAACTGCTCAAAGTACTCAGACCAATGTTCCCGCACCTCAGCACGAGGATATTTAGTAAGAAACGGATTTCGACCTCCTCTGCAAGACTCCTAATAAACTGTTCCTTGCCCCTTCTCGACCGAGTCCTGCGAGAGAGAGAGAGAGAGAGAGAGAGAGAGAGAGAGAGAGAGAGAGAGAGAGAGAGAGAGAGAGAAAGAGAGAGAGAGAGAGAGACAGAGACAGAGAGAGACAGAGACAGAGGCATATTCGTGTGCTTTCCTGCACTTCCTTTCGTTATTCTACTTGCACACACACACATACATACATACACATAGACAAACACACACATACACTCACTCACTCACTCACTCTCTCATATATATGTATGCTTGTGTGTATTAATATATATATATATATATATATATATATATATATATATATATATATATATATATATATAATCTGCATATGAGTGTGTAGATGTCAGATTCTCACTGACATGGTGATATGTCAGATACTTTTAGGAAAACAGGACACTGATTCTGTAAATTCCCTACAAGCAGGGAGATAGCAAGCTCTGCGGACTGAACTGAGATGGTTGTAACGATGGTGAAAATAACTAAGAGAACTATAAGAGAATGAATAATTTCATAATGTAAGATATGTAATTGAAGCGTCTCGATTAAATCTTCATCAGAAGATGCATATCTTTTGGAGTTGCCCATCACATTTACACTATGTCCTCCATTCGGGGCGTTCAAAACAAGTTAGTAGTTATTGTCCTTGGTATCTAATCATGGTATTATACCAGAGGAAGACAACAGCATCAATTACCAGAGCCCAACGTGATATGCAAAATCACTGTCTGTTGTTAAAAAATGTGTAGGCACTTGTGAAATAATATTATAATATTGAGATGGTTATTCATAGAGCTAGTTACCACGAAGAGTTTGTTTACGGCTTTCTCATTTCTAACTCTGATCCTAACTAGAAAAGGAATCTGATCACTCCCTGCAGCGGGTACAGCTCTACTCAGAGCAGCCGATGGAATAATATTTCATTCAGGCAATTACTAGAATATCATTCATTCCTTTCTTGTCAGTTGCCCAGCTGAAAATTTCCGGTGGACCATGTTTAATTTCGGAAAATATTCGAGACAACTGTAACTATTCAGCAACGTAAATTAATTTTGGTTACTCAGCTTTCTTTGTCGCGCTGTACATCTTTAATCTTCCCGTGGCCTCGTGGATGAGGCAAGTTACATCCCCACACTTCTCAGCACTGGTGTGGACGTGACCAGAGAATATTATTAGTTTTAGGGGTGGTGCTCATACCTAGATCACCGAATAAGACTATACCAAGAATGTCATCAATGCAAATTTTCGAGGCTTTTAGTAAAGAAACGAAAATGTACGGATAAAACCTTACCTTTGATTAACATCTAAATACAACTTTTGCCCTACTTAAATACTCTAGTCAATCCGAGTGGATCGCTTTTAGCATTTGGTAGTAACACAAATACTTGTGTATTGTGGAGGGCAAAACTATGGATGCTTTACCCACTACTAAGTACTGATTCGAAAACATTTGTAAAGTGACAGTGAAGAATGAAGGCAACATGGACAGAGCTTTAAATATATATTCTTTGAATGGAGTGCGTTTTACTCAATATCAGCAGGAAATTCCATTGGAAGCTGCTGCAACAGAGCACCATTTTGTAGAAAATTAACAGATTCGTCGTGAATGGAAATTAATAGGATCGGGTTTCACTACAGTGTTCGACGAAGGAGTGATTTGTAGCCATAGGAATTGTATATACAGAAATGTGTTTTCTGTATCATGCTTGAATTGTGTATGAACTTCTGGGTTAAAGTGATGCTGCTTGTGGAACTACAAACAAACAATCCTAATGCTACAGTGAAAATGTTAACAGGTTTGGTAATTGCCAAAAGCTGAAACTGCAGCAGAATATCCAATAAAGTATATTTCCTTCATGTAACATGTTCACGTGTGTGTGTGTGTGTGTGTAATATGTATATTATAAATTATATAATATATATATATATATATATATATATATATACACACACACACACACACACATATGTATACATATACATATATACATATATATATATATATATATATATATATATATATATATATATATATATATATGTGTGTGTGTGTGTGTGTGTGTGTGTGTGTATGTGTATGTGTATGTGTATATGTATATGTATATGTATATGTATACACACGCACACACACACACACACTCATTTATGTACACACACACACACACACACACACACACACACACACACACACACACACACACACACACACACACACACACACACACACACACATATATATATATATATATATATATATATATATATATATATATATATATATATATATATACATGATCTATTATATGCTCTGAATGTTTTCCCCGCACGGCAGTCGCTCGCCCGAAGTGGCACCCTAAGCGATCGCTGGCGACTCCTGAAACCAAAACAATCCAGATCCTCCGTCGTCAGCTCCCGATCCACCCTGAAGGTCATCTTGCGTTTGGAAACTGTCATTGTAGGTGCGTCAGTTTCTCAATTCGTACCCAAGCTGCTCATTTACATATATCATGAAGAAGTAAAGATTTTAGTGAGAATAAAACAATTATTGACGATATTGATGTTTAAAGATGAAAAGGCAGAGAAGCCCTATGGCTGTAGACGTGCCAGTTCGTCGTAATTATTACATCTGTGACGTTGTGTTTGGAAAAGATTGTACAATTACCTTTATTGTTTAGGTTTTTATTCAGAAAAAGTCTGCGGTGCCATTTTAATGGAAAGATTGCTTGTTTTTGGTGTTCAGTGTGCTTTTATAGTAGTTCAGTCAAGGCAGTAGCAACAATATTAGCCTAGATTTCTGGGGTTGGCATGAATTATACCAGAGAAAATGTGGGAAACTAATAATAATAATAAATTATGCAAATATGAAGATCACAATTGTGGCCCCACCCCCACCCTCTGTGACCCCATACTTTCTCTGAAGGTAGAGCTTGAACTGGGTCTATTGGGAGGTATTCAGATATTCAGGAGGAAATGGAAATTTATGTTTTTCTTATATTTTTACTCCTGCTCCCCATGATTTTGGGAGTCAGATACCAGCCAGCAATCTAGGAGGATCCTACTGAATGTTGAAAGATATATACGTACAAACAAACAGATGGCTTTATTCCTGAATTCCCCTCTTGATTGTCATATTTTCCTAGCTGGGGTCTCTGGCCTGGAACCACCTCCCAATTGTTCTATCTTTATCTATCCAGCGGCTTTATCCATTACAGTATTCTGTCCTTTTCAAAATTAAAAGTGACTACTTTTTGGTGAAGGTTTATGTCGTGCATTGGTGGTTGGCAAGGAGGCACACCTCTGATTATATGGGTATATACAGTGTGGTTTACTGCACTTCATTGAATGCAGTATTATCCCACTTTCATTAACCCAATGTAGATGGGCATGGTATGTACGTACACGCCATGCCCACTGTGAATTTTGTTTATTAAATGTTTTTACACATGGATGGCTACACTTGTACTAGGTCACCAATGAGCCAATTACAAGTACTGTCTGTCTTGCCCATTTTTTTCTTTATTTCTGAAAGTATTTTACATTATCATATTTTGCTGTTACTAATGTTTATAACATCATAGTAATTATAAATTCTATAATAAGAATAACACCATCAATATTCATAGCAATCGTAAAAAATACATTTTTCCCACCAATTCAAGGAATGGTGAAATTAAATAAGGTCACAAGTCTACTTATTGACTCTTTTGTGACTAAGCACTAGCAGATATATCTATGTGCAGAGATATTTCACAAAAATATAAAACATTAGCACAGCATTTTCCCCATTTTTTATTCATTTTCCCTGGCGGCATGTGGTTACGAGTTCTTTTGTCATAAGATTGTGAAAGCATTTGGAAACACAAACTTTACTCCTGAAGGGTACAGACACCAGAACTGTCAAATTTGCTATTAAATGGTTGGGCATGCCTATGGATTTAACAAGTGCTCGTAATTTATAGAAATATGGGTACATAATATTATATGGCTTATGGCTTATGTATAGAATGTGCATTTAATATATACATATTTGGGTGCATTGTAATGAAAACTGAAACAGAGAAGTACAATAAACATAATCATGAAGTTTAAAAAACATTGTCAAGCAAGGTGATTGCCTGTGGTTTACCATATTTGGTCACTTCTTTTAAAGGTTCAAGAATTTTTATTTTGCTGAAATTTAGAAATTATTCACAAATAAAAATGTCTTACATTTTGTATTTCTTCAAGAACTCAACATAATGTCTTTATGGTTCTTATT